GCTAATTGAAAGATCTGCGGTATTCTTGTACTAAGTGCTAACAAAGAGATCCACCCCTCCAGTTCATTTACCATGACAGGACAAGAAGGGCTTCTGAGTACAAAGCTCCACTTCTGATAGGTGACTACTGGAAGAAATGACATTAAGTTTTGATTCACCTGTAGCCTTGATCTTCACACCTGAAACAAACTTGTTACATTATGGGTGAATTGTATTAACAATGGGCAATTTCACATGTGTCATCAAGGGCTTGTCAAGCATACTCAGCTATAACAGGTGTTACGGGTTACGGCCCTTATTGACAGCCCTGAGTGTCAGTTGATTTCACGTCATATCTAAGCTGCATGTACCAGAATTAAGAGACTGTCGGATATGGTACATGTAGATATGTAATAGATTTGATCTTTCAGTAATTTAACTTCAAACATTTGTTCAGACATTTTAGGTGAGGTGTCTTTAAAAGAGAAGTTCAGCCATGTGGAACTCACCAGACTTGTCAATCATATCAGACAGTCAGTGGAATTTTCAAACCACAGCATACCTATTAAAAGAAAATCCCCTGATGCTGCAAACCACAAGGCTAAGAATGGCTGTCACAGCACACCACTCCAGAAATTCATGCTTCCCTCAGATATCGAAAGTTTGTGTGGTGAGGAAGCCGATGACAACTTCAAGAACCTAGTTGGAGAAACTCTTGATATTCTGGACAGCGATGATTGTCAGAATGTGTTGAAGATGTGTTTGGATGCTGGATTTGCCCATGTTATGCATAACATGATTCCCTTCTTCCAAGTTTATTTTCTAAACTCTGATCAAAACACTAAAGGATAGTTACCATCAGCGTACTTGCCAGCAACTTTGCAAATCCACTAGCCTGCAGTTGATCTATTAGTTTACAAACTGCATGGTCTTAAAACTACAGTGTAACAGTACATGTAAATATTCATTTATCTTTCTGTGCTTTCTCCAGAACTTGGCGCTGTGGGCGGTATTGAGCGTGAACCATCTCTTGATCTCCCACTGGCCAAGATCATTCCTATCATTAATGGACAAGTTAACCACATCTTGAGTGACTCGGAGAACAACTACTTCCAAGACTTGTTTAAAGTTGGCAGTGCAAGGGAATTTGCAGCAAATGTTTATGAAGCATTCAGCCTTGAGGTGGACTAGAAATCATGTCCTACAGAATTCACGAAGCCAATGTTTGAGATGACATTAACAAACAGTCCGGGCATTTTCTCAGGCCATTGGTATAGATGGGGATCAGTGGGTTTGAAGTTCCACATCCCCGCACACTCCTCCTTCCCCTTTCCCATGCACATTTCAAATGTGCCTTTTGGCTCTTTATCACATCAGTGATCAACCTCTATTTTCTCCTTAAATACTGTACATACCAAATCAAGCATACATCTGATGAGAATAAGGAAACTGATCATCCGGGAGAATCTTGATATATGTTCAAATTCTCCTAATTGGTACTTAAAGAAGTTTACAAAGTGTATAAATGGTTTTGAAAGGAAGCCTCTAGTTTATGAATTAATGTATGTCTATCTATTTTTTGCCCTTCTTGAGACACTGATAGCATAATCCTGTAGGGTGGCAACATTGTAAGACTAATCTTAAGGTTTAAGGTTACAAGGGTAATAACATTCATTTGTAAATGATCCCTCGCTCAAAATGTTTAGTCATTTTTTGTGATTTACAAAATTACATTTGTACCTAGAAATCAAATGAACACAATACATAACAACATCAGATTTAGTTGTATCAAAAATAATTCAGACTTGAGACATTAGGACTGGATTTTCTGGGATTTACCTTCTTTAACCTGACAGAAATGTGTCTCCCAAAGGGTCTTAAAAAGGCTGTGTGTGGACTGTTAGGAGTTTTCCTTTTTTTTATTTAAAACCGATTTATTAGAATGAAGTACATGTACTTGTTGTAAAATGTAGAAGTTCAAGATTGAAGATATTTAAATTATTTTAATTATACTGTTTCCAGATTCTCGGTAATATATTTTCATCACTCAAAAGTTTATCTTGTTAGGTAAAGGCACAAATAATTATAATTTGTACCTTAGTGAATCTCATTTGTACATGTTCATAAACGGTTGTCTGTAATCAAAACGGTGAATAAAACAGTTACCTTCTGACCTTGTGCGTAATGTGGATTATGTTTTGTAAGCAAAAGAAGCAGCCTCAGCACTTTCAGGTACTCGAAATCCTGCAAATTGGCTTTTGAGCATTCTCCCTTGCCCACCCCTTCAACTTTGTGATGTCTTTAGGCTCCTCATTGGGGTATAAGGCGACAAAAGTTATTTTGCCCCTTTTTTTCCCCTCGTATCCGCACTAGGAAGGCTGTGTAGAAGAAATTCTAAGAGCTGCAGGTGGGGAGCACTGCACCGTTTACAAGGTTTTTATAATTGGCCAAACGAAATAACAGATAAATTAAAGAACACAAACAATGTCCCTAGCCCAAAGAACAAAAGAGATGCAAATTAACAAGAACGAAACAATTGAACCAATCCTTTACGCGGTTAACTTTTCCCACTTACATTACCATGTAAACCTACGTGGAAGCGAGGCAATTTCAGGCAGAAACTTTCCTTAAAATTGTCCGAAATTACCTCAAACGTGGCGGATTATGTTACAATGTAAAGGAGAGAAGTTAACCGTGAACGAGCGGTTCCGAACGGAAAGTGCGAAATCAGCAAGCTTCTCTTAATCATAAATAGGTGAACGCCGATTATAAAGATCGTGTTCATGAAAAATGGTGACTCGGATATAAAAGTACATTTGTGCTCTCCAAATGCGTGTTGTTGTCCATCTGTTGAGAACGCAAAAGTCAGCTGAAAAGTAAATGACACCGAAACAATTCCTCTAGAAGAGAACGCTAATTTAATAAGCAATATACATTTGGTTGAACTAGCGATGTTTCCATAAAGTAGACGAAAAAGTCCATTTTAAATTTTTCCACAGTGTTCCGTAGCGCGGTTTTGACTTTTGGTTTACATGTACATATGCAAGGGCAACCTTCTTGCAACCCGACGGACGATATCATTGCTTCTAGGTCATTATCACCCTCTTAACCTTCTTGATGCTTATTCCTTACCATTTCCCCAGGGGTACTCCCAGAAAAATTTGGCGGGGATGTGCAGCCCGCTTCCTAAAACACTTACCCTATTTATGACCAAAATCTGCGAYTTTCCCAACCCTATTTATGACCAGACCAAAAATTCGATACCCTATTTATGACCGTTGCGGCTGACACAGTTGCCCTAAACATAATTTTTGAAGGGCTTTTGTTTATGGTCTTATAGAAAAAGATGAAAAAGTAGCTTCTTCTAAAAAACATACCCAATTCAAGACTAGAGAGCAAATACCATACCCTATTTGAGACCAAAATGGCCAAATAAGCGATACCCTATTTATGACCAAAACGGCTGAAAAACCATACCCTTTGGGGCCACACATACCTACTACTACTAGCCCATGTAAGGGAGTAACTCCGGGACCATTTCTAAACGCTGCCATTAAAAACCCAAAACTTTCCACTACCCCCTAGAATATGCAAAGGACCAAAACGCAATAGGTAGCAAAGAAATCTCTTTGGGAGTGGGAAAGAGGAAATTTCTTAGTATTTTCAAAGGGCCACTTGCCTCACCAGTACCCTGCAAGGGAGTTCATATGCGCCCTCAGCTACCCCTACACGAAGTTAACAGAGTTAACAATGAAAGTTTAATAGATTTATGTTACGGCCTTTTAGTATATTGTGTCCAGCTGACGAAAATATGCACAACTGAAGGCCATGTTTTTGATCAGACATTAGCATTTCGCTTATTTACTCGCTCTAACAACAACAGAGGCGCGCAAAGAGCACTGGTTGAAACTGAGCGCATAAACTTCCCCTAATTCTAAGAAAGCGGGGATTTCCCGCATGCCACAGATGCAACAAGAAGATGCTCAGGCTGAGTTGGACGTAGAAGACTTACAAATTGAACAAAACACGCAGAATTTACAGCCAAAGATTGGTAATGCGCATGTAATATTATGTGAAACTTTAAAAAAAGTCATGTAAAATTGTAAGGATCTGCGAGTCTCCTGTCTGCGCACGAGTAAATCACGCGAAGTGAGCGGCCATGTCAGTCCTCAATCCCTTTCAAATTCTTTTGAATGATCTCAGCAATGAACTACACGAAAGGAATCTACACAGCCTAATACATGTTTGTGGAGATCTCATTCCTACTGGCCAACGCGAAAAAATCAGCAGCGGCTGGGAGGCATTCAGCATTTTACGTCAACTCAACATCATCGGCAGCGAACCAAAAAAGATGGCGAACTTACTCGCAATTATCAAGGAACTGAGACCCAAGAGAAGAGATTTGGTGCACAAGATTAAGCGCCACATTCAGGACAATTACGAAGAACCAGACTTGATATTGAAAGATTTCGAATCAAGTTCCGATTGCCCTCTGCCATTTGGCGTGATTTCCAGACCTTCAACACAAATATCTCACATACCTCAAGACGACTGTTGTCGCATTCGCTGTTGTGGTTTGGCTTGCAGTTGCAATCCATGTTGTGATGCTTGCTGTTGTTGTGTCATCTTGGCACTACTGTTATCCTTCCTCGCCATCGCGGCTGCACTGGCGTGGTATTCCAGTATTCCTGTGGTAAGCGAGTATTTAAAGTCCGATGATCATGATGAAATAAGACGTGCCGGGCCATTTGTTATCTCTATTTTAGGATTCCTCGCAGTCTGCGGCGTTCTCAGTGCCATTTACATCAGGTGTTGTAGGCCAAGAGATCAGCTGAATTATACGGTGCTACCAACCTCTCACGAAATCAGGAGTGATCAAGCAAGCTATGCCTCCTCCGACTCAGCGCCCACCACCTATTATTCAGTAATCGACCGGAGGATAGAACGTCCAAGACGTCGTGAGTGTTCCTGCAGTTCCGGGCAGTATACAGCTTCAAGCTCAGTGACTTCTGGGGCATCGTTGCGTAATCCACCGCGGCTTCCAAACGACGTTGTTCCAGATGGCTTCCCGCAGGATGACTACCCTGAAGATTTTGCTCAGGAAGTGGAGGAGGTAAAAGGTGATTTGGCTGATTTGATAGAGGTCTAAAGATGGTGCGTGATATAAATATTCTCTCCCTTGCCTCGTTCGCCGGTTTTTAACACAACGATAGATGAATCGAAAGAGGTCTACGTCATATCGACATTCACGTACCAGCTTATTGAACCTGTAGTTATGCGAGGAATGGTTGCATGAGCTGCGAGGGACAGCCCCAGAGGGCGAGCGGCTCTGCCGTGACTGCAGGCTATCAGACTGTCAGCAATTTAAACTGTAAAAATTGGATACTGACTAAAACATTTTTTTCTATTTTTTTATTTTTTATCGACATAATTTCTTTCTAAGGTAGTCTCAAGAGCTAAGCTTCAAAGCAAATCAATTGAAAATGCGATTCGTTGCCATGTTTAACTGAGTTATAAACTTTATAATGCGACGCGACATTTGTTATTATTCAGATTTTGTTTGTTTCATGTCAATGATGCTTTGCATTAGAATGAGAAGAGAATAATCGAAATTAGAAAAACAGATTCAAATACGAGAGGACACAGAAGTAGCATAGCGATTTGATCTTCGATTCCTAAGCTGTCTAAGCTGTGAGGGCTTATTTAAATCTGTTCATTTTCTGATGCTTCGCTACCTAAAATATGTGGAGACGGTTTACGCTAATAAAATCGATAAGTTCAATAAAATCGATATCATTAATTTAAAATCGAGAATTATCGATTTCAACTTGCAACGTATCTCTTTATTGATTTTTATCGATTTCTGATACAATTTATTAATTTCTATCGATTGTTATCAATTGCCATCAATTATCGGTTTTATCGATTGAACACGCCGGGCCATTTGTATGAAACATCACACGAATCGACAAAACGTTAGTGCCTGGTGCCCGTTCATGCAGTATAGAACATAAAATTGGGTCTCTTATTATTTGGCTCTTCCTGTTTATCAAACATAGAAGAGGTATACTGCGTAGAAAGCTTTCCGTAAAAAGTATGGTTGCAGAAAAAATCCGACGGGTGGGGTGCGGTGACCCACCACAACCCCCCGCTTCGTCGATTTTTCTGCTCTCGCTCCAAATTGCGCGCGGACAGAATGCGGAAAAAGTTCTTCATACGAGTAACGCCAGGACGCAAGCTAAAGAAAACGTTGTAATTTTCTGTCACTTTCAACAATTTATAAAGACTCCAAAGGCTTTGATTTTTTATCTTTTTCCGTTAAATACCTATTTGTAGAGGTATTGATGTCATCCTAGTATAAGTTATATTTTTAATTTAAATGTAAGCCCCCTAGATAAGCCCTTTGAACTCTTGGTGCAAACTCTTGAAATGTGTTTTAAAATATCAAACGTGGGTGCCAACAAGGGAGAGGGTAAAGATTAGTTGTTGGATAACAAGAAAAGTCCTCATTTATTCCTTTCCGTTTGGTCCAAAAGAGTTTTATTCAAAGCAGGCTGGTAAACCAGTAATTAGAGAGCCACTTCAAAGAATTATAGTCCACAAAAGTCTGTCAAGTGTAAATCATTTAATTATGAAACAATAAAGAATTGGTTCATGCTTAGCGTGCGTATATCGAGTTATGGATGCACGCGGGAAGCTCGGAGAGCACGAAAGAGTCTGGCCCATCACTGTCACCTATGAACAGTTTGTAACTTTTCATATTTAATTTGATGTATATGTATATTAAAGTGCACCTAACCCCAAAATTTTTTTTTCGCTAAAACAAATCTAGACTTTATTTAAAGCATTATGGCGAAGAAATTTTTGAATTTGGTTGAATCCTCGATTTTCTATGCCCTTTCAAAGTCGCGATTAAGTGTTTCACGACCGCGTTTTAGGGAGTCTGGGGCGGCGGTACCTGATGACGTCTACCCAGGAACCAAATACAATAGCGCCTCAGTCAACTCACTGTATTTGCTCGAGAATGCAAAACTAATCGTTCCGATGTATTTTGGGACTAAAACGTCCAAGTTTTGTCTCAGAATCATTTCTTTTTCGTCACTGGAGTCAGAGTTAAGTTTCGATTCGGAAGGCTCCGAAATAAACTTC